GGGCTAGATGGACCTTTGGTCTAACCCAATATGGATGTTATGTTCTAATTTTTACTGATACAAAGCTAATTCTTCCAAGCCTAATTAGAACTACTGGTTACAGCCAGATGTTATGTAAGTGCCATGCAAGCTTTCTATGCACTCTTTGACCAAGACATTCTCATCCATCACATGCACTAATAACCCTCTGCCACCTTCACCCTGGCCTTCCTTCCGAACCTTTACTGCACTCTGCTAGAGCACCTCAAGACCACCCAGTTCCACTGCAGCTCTGTCAACACACCTGAGTCCAGACCTGCAGCATCCCTGTCTACTTCTCTCTTTGACTCCAGCAGCACTTCCACTTCTCACCCCTATCCTGCCCCAGGCCTGGCCATGCTATGATTGTTGTTTCTATAGTAGGAGAGCCTAGAGGCTCAAGGCAGGACTGAGCCCCCTTGTGCAAGGTGATGTACAAATATAGTTAGATGTGGTCCCACCTTGGGAAGAGTTTTCTATCTAAAAGGACTAGAGCAGTGTTCCTTAAACAGTGTTCCGCAGCACACCAAGGCAGTCGGAGGTGCGCTGTGGAGAACAACGAAATTCAAAATGGCCGCTCTTAAAAGGGCAGGTGACCTTTTTTTTTTTTTTGGCTCAATAACTTTCCCTCTGACCCTTTTGTTAGTTCGTTAGTTCGTTCGTTCGTTCGTTCGTTCGGTGTTCATCGGTTTTGAAAAATTTAAGAAACACTGGACTAGAGAGATGGACAGTGATAGATGGAAGCAGAATGTCAACATGTTTTGGGGGTTTTTTTGGGTCAATGAAGAACCTGTCCAGGGGCTCGGATACGCCAGGAGCCTACTCTTCCATGGGAAGGCTAAGCAAGCCACACAAGGGAGCAGGGTTTGAGAGGTGCTTGGTTTCCCAGAGACACGCTTCCCAGGAGCAGCATGTTTCAAGTGAGCAGACGGAGTTCTGGGGCCGCTGCTTATATTTCCTGGGGAAGAGGCTATGCCCAACCCCTGGGACGAAGGGAGGGATTTTTGAGGGTTCAAAGGGGGGGTTGCAAGCAGGGGGGTGGCACTTGGTGCCACTGGGTGTTACCGGTGTCATGAGGAGAGAGGAAAGGGAGTTTGTTGTTTCAGGGAGCAGCATGAAACTGGGGACCCCAGCAACGTGTGATTGAGAGATCCAGCTCGGATGGCATCGTTGGTTCTGACAAGTGGGAGGACAATGAGAGAAAGGGTCCTGGTGACCTGCCCAGCTGGGGGTGGGAGGGATGGATGGAGGAGAGGAGAAGCGGAGAAGAGAGGGGCCCAGGCGACCCTGTTTACCTGATAGAAGACAAAGGACAGAGGAAGGGCACTGATATTGGAAGCTCACCTGGAAGGAGGGAGTTTCTGGACTGGGCACAGGGAACAAGGGACATTCAGACGTGCTGGGGGGAGAGAGGCCAGGCCTAGAGTTGAGAGAGTTCCTAGGCTGTGTTCCTACGCTCAGCAGACCCTCCTGTTTTGCTGAGAGACTCTCCAGGCTAGAGTGGAGGGCCCAGGGGTCCAGAGTGAGAGGATTCCCTGAGAGAGCCCATGGCAGAGACAGGTGCGCTGGAGGCTCAGAGATGTGCGGTCTCAGGAGATGGAGGGGCTTAACCCCCGAGAGACAGTGGGCCCCCGAGAAGGGTTGTCCTACTGAAGGGGGGGGGCACGACCCGTGAGTCCGTGACAACCCCAAATACCCCTTTCTCAGGCGCAGGCTCTTATAACACACTTCAGGAATGAAATGATTTCCTTGCTATGCTACCGGGCACAAGCCGGTGCGTCCCACCCTGGCTGTTCCCCTGGGAATGTAAGAGACCCTCTGATCTCTCCGACTGCACCCTTCCAGAACAAACAGCAGCTTCTCCACTGGATGAGTCCATGCAGCCAGGCCCCTCCCTAGGAACATCTGTTCTTTCCAGCTACAGTGTGTGCTCCTCATAGCAAAATTGTCGTGGGTTATTAGGGTCACTGCAAGCATCCCGAAAAGCAGTGGTAGTTTAGGCTGGGACTGGCAAAGGAATCCAAGTAAATACAAATCTCTAAGGCAGCCTGGCAGTCAGCGCCTGTTGAACTGAACTAATTTATTCCAGGCTCCTTCAGAAACCCTACCCCCGATGCCCTGAATGCTGCTGTATTTAGGGGTGATTAGCAGCTGGATGAGGATCTATTGGTTTTTCTTTGGTGAAGGGCGGGGGGAGGAAATGTTTGAATAACTCGTAATTATGACTTGCAGCTTTAAAAATACCATGTGCGTTGAGAGCTGGTGAAAGCCGATAGCCCTGGAGTTACAAAGGCCTCTTGCTTCTCCAGAGGCAAGTTGGCAGGGAACGAGGTGGAATCTGGAAGCAGCTTGGACGGCCATGGCCCGTGTGATGGATGAATAATGATATTTAAGTCCCTGTAAGGGCCCATTTTATCCACACATCTCAAGGCGCTTTACAAAGCTGGATAACTGTGTTATCTTCATAACACAGACGGGGAAACGGGCACTGAGCAGTGAAGTCACTTGCATACGTTTACACCAGCAAGCTAACATCTGTGAGAAAACTGGGAGCAGAGCCCTCTGGGCAAGAAGGGTTGGGCAGCACTTGGTGTGCCAGCCTCGGATTCTGAACACTCAGCTCCGGTTCCTTTGTCTATCTGGATCTGGGCAAATTCCTGCGGGCTTGTCTACATGGGAGTTATTCCCTTTTGCAAGTGGATTAAGCTGATTTGGAGTCAGAGCATCCACATGTGGCATTAATCAAGAACAGTGAATCCACTTTCAATGAACAAAAACAAGGAGTCCGGTGGTACTTTAAAGACTAACAAGTGGAGTAAGGTATTAGAGCCTGGCAGACAGAAAAATTTCCAACACAGACTGCAGAGAGAAACTGTGGTGCTGAAATTCATATGCAAATGTGACACCCTGAACCAAGCTCTAAACCTGGGGTGGGGAAACCTCTGGCCCTGGGGCCGGATGCAGCCCCCGGCTTGCCTGGATCCAGCCCGCAGCTCAAGGCTCACCCCCCAGCATTGGGGAGCCTGCACTGGTGCTCCAGGCCCCCTTGCTACTCCACCGCATGGCTGAGGAGTCTCTTTCTGCTTCTCAGCCGAGGGGCCACATCACTGAGGGGCTGGCTTTTTTTAAAATTTTTGCTTGTCACTTGTGTGCAGCCCCCGACTGATTTTTTTGTGGGTGGCCCCCAACCCAAAAAAGGTTGCCCACCCTTGGTCTATACATACACAGGGAGTGGTTCTCACTTCCCAACAGGTAATTTCCCATTCCGGTCCTTTCACCTTCTCCCCACTGCTGGAGACGGGCCACATCCACTCTGATTTCATTAGCATTGATGTCACATTCCCATCTCTGTCTCCTTTTTTTCCCCTCTTCAGCATCTGAGGAAGAGAGTTGTAGTTCACAAAAGCGTAGGCTCTCACACCCTAATACATGTGTTAAAAAGTACCACCAGACTCCTTGTTTTTGCTGAAACAGAGTAACATGCCTACTACCCCTCTGAAACCTTTTGGATATGTCTAGACTGCTCCCTCTTGTGCAAGACCCGTTCTACCTCTTTTTTTCAGGAAGAACTGCTCTTGCACAAAATGGCGGCTCATTAAGTATGCAAATGAGGTGCAGCAATATTCACTGCTTCACTTCATTTGCATATTTTCTTGTGCAAGAGGGGGCAGTCTAGATGTAGCCTTAAATTAACAGTTTTCCTTATTCCAGATGTGGAGACAAGGCCCTAAATATCTCTGAACCTCAGCTCACCACCTGTAAAATGGGAATAATAGTCCTGCTCTTACAGTATAGGAGTGTGATAAAGATTCAGGATTGTAAAATGGTCAATATAGTAATGGGGATTGGTGCGGGTACTAGTGTGCAGGGGATGCTGCGGCACCCCCTGGCTCTCCACTTAGCACCCTGGGTCCCAGTTACCGGCTCCAGCTGCTCTGTTGCCAGCGCCGTAAGTTGGGGTCCTAGGTTGAGCCCCGTACACCAGGGATCGCTACAGCTGGTCCCATGCCTGGAGTGCTGGCTGCTTGCCTTGCATGCTGGGGCTTTGTTCCTGGCCTCAGCTTGGGGTGGAGGTAGACAGGGATAAGAGGACTCAGCATCTTCCCCCGTTTAAAAATATTCCCACACCGCTGGTAAGGGGGACCTGAAATGTATAGAGACTCAAGACTCCCAAGTGCCCATCTGTGCTCTACGGGTGCGGCCGTCTACACGGCCCCGTAGGTCGAAATTGAGGTACGCAAGCTGACCTACACAAATGGCGTCGCTCATTTCGATGTTATTTCGAATGTGCTTATTTCAAAAATTTAAAAGGCGTTGTCTACACCACACTTCTTTCGAAATAAATCGCTATTTTGAAACGCCCCTTACTCCTCGTGGAATGAGGCTTACAGGGACGTCACAACAGCGAGCCCGTTATATTTTGAAATAACGGGCTTGCAGTTAAGACACAGGATAGCGAATTCAGGACACCGCCGGTATCCTGAAACAGCGCTGCAGTGCAGACGTAGCCTATGTGTCTTAGACATTTCTATGGCTCCCTTCCCCACAGTATCGAAGCAAGAAAATATGTTGCCTCCCGTGTGGGTTGGCAGAGAAGCACAGCCAGCAGGGTGTCCATGTGGCACCTTTCGGCGGCAGGTGAAACAAATTCTTAGTGTTACATTAGCTTCTCGGTATGTAGTTTATGTACCTTGGATGCCGCTTCGTTAGAATAAATATTTCTAGAAACATTCCTGTTTAATAGTAGAATTATAAAATATCAAGGCTTGCTGGTGACATGGCCATCAGATACAACCATTAGGCCATTCTGCCATCTCCCCAGCCACGAAAACCGTGAAGATGCTTTGCTTCTAAACAGCTCATCCAGAGCATCTTCCCCCCTCCAAAAGTCTGATTTATTTTTTTTAAACCCAGCCTCATCGTCTCTGTGTGATGAGAAACACAGGCGACCTCAGAAAAGTCGGTTCAAAACAACACCCACTGTTCCACTAACTTGTTCAACAGAGAGAGGCTGCAACCTGCCAAAGCCTCTGCAAGGAAAGACACCAGTGTGCAAGAGGAGAGCGGAAAAGCTGGTTGTTTATAACGTCAGGCAGCATTAGGGCATCTTCGCTCTACTCTGCGAGCTGTCTGCTACAGGGAAGCCGCTCCAAAAGGAAAATCCAGCAGTGCCCATGACCTGCAAGCACAATATTTGATCAGGACGGCGGGGCGGGCACCAACCCTGGCAAACTGAGACACACACATGCTCGTTAATACACAGGAGATCAGGCAGAAGAACACTGGGGCTCTGAGTCTGGTAAGTTGATTTCTGTGTTTATCGTGGGTTGGGACTTTTTTTTAAATTATTTGTTTGCCTACCTGTGCCGCAAAGGGAATGCTACCCCCTTGCCATGCAGGCGGCACGACACTGACACAGGGAACCAGGGGAATCACATGCCAACGACACGGATGGCACAGAGCTGGGGCAGCTTTGTGCCTTATTAACAATGCCTTTCTTCCTTTGATGACGTGTTACGTTCCGGGCAGGGAGGGGCAAGACAAGCTAGACAGATTCAAACCAGAGTCTACTCTCCTGATCCCACCACCACCCTCTCCACCCAGCACAACGCCTACATGGCTCTGCATTGGATTCTAGCGCTTCGTTAACAGTGTTGAGAAGGTGGCACTGATAGGGATGGAGGAAGCTCATGCTGTCCATTAACACCAGGTGCCCGTGCAAGGTGCCTTCTGCAGCACAACCCCAGTTAGATGGGCAGCCTGGGGAACCAGTACCCCTGGCAGGACATGCCACCTGTTTTATCCTACACATGAAAGGGATGCAGACCCACTATGGACATGGAGCTGGACCAGGGCTGTAGATTGAGAGAGAATTGCCACAGACATAGCATTGGACAGAGGGAAACTGGGCTGTCTATGCAAGAGAGACCCCAGAGGAACAGCTAAACAGGGGGGAAAGACCCCCTTAGAATGGGGAGGTACATGCAGGAAGGCAGCCCTAGGAACACCACTGAATGCAGGAGAGATTCCCCCTTAGCAACAGTCCCATACCTGGGGAGACCCCTAGAAATTGGAACAGGCCCCCTAGGAATGATGCCAATCAGGAGGAGGGGGGCAGACCTCCTAGGAATAGTGCCACATTGGGGGAGGGGGAGGCAGACCCCCTAGGAATGGAGCAGCACAGTAGGAAAGATGGCTTTCCAGGGGGGTGGAGGAAGCCTATTTTCCGGGAAGCGGGGAGACTTTACCAGTCAAGGTACCCCCAGGATAGGAGGAGAGCTGCTCTCTGAAACAGCCTGCATGCCTGGCTCCGGACCGCACCCAGTTTCAGCAACGCACCATGTGTCACTGGCCCTGTTGGCAGCAGGAACTCCCGTACGCATGGAAAATGGAAGAAACCCAAGAGCCCAGCCACGGAGTGCCTCAATCCCTCTTTTCTTCCCGCACCAGCCGCCTGCCAGCCAGCACTGCACCTAGGTGGCGATGTGCAGACTGGCTCAGCTCTGGACTGTACCCTCTTTGTCTAGCCCGCCGGGATTCCACATTCGGGCTGGAGCTATAAATATATCCCCCTTCCTGCAGCTCTGTCCTGTGGGTATGTCTGAGCCTCGGCCATGGACGCCATCGGGCCAGTACCAGCGACTCAGAGGCCTGCTGTGATCATTAGTGTGGGACCCTCCCCGAACAAAGACCTGGTTTGAACAGGCTGTCTACACGGCAGGGGCAGCAAATCCAGATCAGACTGTACCGTGGGCACTGCTGTACCTGTGTGCGCCCACTTAGGAGAGACCGCAATGCCGCCCAGCTGATTAGCAGAGAGCCCACAGCTTGCTTTGGTATTTCTCCTGGTAGTGCACATTAGGTGCACATAAAAAATTATTCTGCACATTGATGGAAAAGAGTGGAGGGAACATCGGTGGGCACCAATTTCACAGCTTTGCAAAACCCTGGGCTTGCCTGTAAGGGGCCTCTAATCCTCCACTATTACGTGGAGTACAGTAGCACCCGCTAAGAACATGGCTCCACCGCGCTAGGCGCTGTACATACCCACAGTGACAGTCCTTGTCCCACAAAGCCTACAGAGAGAATGCCAGGCAGTGTTATTGCTACCCTATTCACAGATGGGGAACTGTGGCCCAGGGCGAGATACGGTGATGCAGGCAGACTGGCAGGGATGGGAGCTGCAGCCTAGGCCAGTGAGCAGCCTTCCCTCTCCGCAGAGCCAAACCTTCGCAATAAGCTGGACTCACACAATGCTCGGGGTAATTGGGAGCCTCAGGGAGCAGCCCCACTGGTTCCTGCTGTTCTGTGTTGACCCAGCACTTTGTGGGAGGTGCTGGCAGATTCCTTAGTCTGCAGGGCCCCTCTCCCTGCCTGAGCCCAGTCCTGCCCCCACCGGGAGTCTGCTCACTGGTTTCAGGAGCTCAGCCTGTGCCCACTGTGGCACGTAAGAGGAGGTGACTGAGAGGGTCAGGAAGGGACCTACAACCAGGATCAGACTCCTTTCTCCCCAGGCGTCTCAAGCCTTCCTTCTCCCTACCCCTTCCCACACCCTGCCCTGGTAGCTACATGTGGGGAGAACAATGCACATGACCCTGGCTCTCAGACTCCATCCAGCCCTGGGCGGGTGGTGTGATAGCTGGGGTGACTGGGCTAAGAACCCTCTCCCCAGACCACATGGTGGGAAGTTCCAGATTATGGTGATACAGTGGGAATGACCTAGTTAAAAGACCCTAATAATGAAGGGGCGGAACTCCCTGCTGCAGTACAAGGGAGCTTCTTTCAGCAGTGGACAGGTCCACTGAGCAGGGTGGGGTGTGTGCGCAAAGGGGGCAGTCGCCCCCCAGGCCCAGGAATTCAAGGGGGCCCAGGGCTCCTGGCCACTGCTGCTGCTACTGCCCTTTAAATCACCACCAGAGTACTCGGTGTGGGTCTGTGAGTAAGGAGGAGGGGCGTCCCACCCTCTAAATCATGGGTTCCCAAACTGGGGGGCATGCCCCCCTGGGGGAGGCATGAAGAAATTCCAGGGGGGGCGCAAGGCGATCCAGCAACCCCCCCCCCCTCCCATCAAGTTTTGCTGCCCCGCTCAGTTCCTTTTTTTTTTTTGCTCAACAAGTTTTGCTGCTATTTTGGGGGGGGCCGTGAGGGTTTTTCAAAAATCAAAAAGGGGGGGGGCGTGATGCCAAAAAGTCTGGGAACCACTGCTCTAAGGGTATGTCTACACTACCCTCCTAGTTCGAACTAGGAGGGTAATGTAGGCATACCGCACTTGCAAATGAAGCCCGGGGTTTGAATTTCCCGGGCTTCATTTGCATAAGCTGGGCACCGCCATTTTTAAATCCCGGCTCGTTCGAACCCCGTGCCGCGTGTAGCCGCGCTGCACGGGGTTCGAACGAGCCGGGATTTAAAAATGGCGGTGCCCAGCTTATGCAAATGAAGCCCGGGAAATTCAAATCCCGGGCTTCATTTGCAAGTGCGGTATGCCTACATTACCCTCCTAGTTCGAACTAGGAGGGTAGTGTAGACATACCCTAAGTGATACAGTGGGCTGACTGCTCCTGGTCCCGCCCCTTCCACTCCAGGTCCCGCCCCTTCCACAAGCACAGAACCAGTCCTCCACACACCTTGCCCAGGGACCCACAGAGGTTGTCGGCTCCCCTGGAAGTGGACTATGCAATACCAGCTAGATGGTGATAAGGGAAATGTGGCGCTCAGAGTCCGTATTAGCCATCACTCCTTCCAGTGGAGCAGAGATTATAGAGGAGTCTGAATACCAAGTCCCTTATGCAGGGGTCAGCAGTCACACCCGAACCTCCCCCACTCAGTGCATCCTGGGGTATTTCCCGGGGGCATTCTAACTCTCTTCCATGCATGCTGTTCCATGCACTCAGCATTAGGGAACAGGCATAAGCCACTGTGGGGGCAGTTATAGGTCTTCATGGCCATGACATGTCAACATCTCATTGTCATAATGGGTGTCAACCTCTGAGCAACCTGGTAATGTAGGGATGTACTAACCCCATTATACAGAAGTAGAACTGAGGCCCGGGGTAGATTGAGTCACCTACCCAAGTCACAAAAGTCATCTATGACAGAGTCAGGAGGGGAAGCTAGGTTTCCCAAATCCCAATCTTTCCAATAGGCCACAACTCTTCCCCACAGAAACAGCTTTTGTCTCATTGTATCCAGATGTCCCGGTCTGTTACAGCAGCCTGATGAAATATTAACAGAAATAATTTCATGCCACTAATTTAGCTCCTTTTCTTCCACGTGCATATTATTCCCAAATAGACTTTGATCTTTATAAACATATTTGCCATGCAAAAGTTGATGGCAAATGGTTACTTCAGCCTTTGTGTTTAATATTGACTATTTATCACTTCAAACACTTGCTATTCACGCGGTCTAAAGTCACATGGTATTGTTTCTGCTTCCTGATTGGGTGACGCCTAAAGCGCTTCCAAGCAACCACTTAAAATGCAAATCTTTATACGGATCCACGTGCATAACATGTAAGTTTGCAATGTCAGATGGACATGTTAGTTCTTTTCTCAGTTTACCACTGAAGTGTTGTGTCACCTGGTATGTGTCGTTGGTGGCTGTCTCTCCTCCATCCTGTGTACTTCTTGTCTATATATATTGCAAACTCTTTGAGAGCAGGAACTGTCTCTGTTACCATGTACAGCTCCTAGCACAATGGGGCTCCAATCTCATTGGTAGCCTTTGTTGACACTACTGTAATGATAATAAGTCATTGCGAACAAACCAGCCCTGGCAGAAATGTTCTAAAAAAACAAACAAAAGAGCGTCAAAGTAGTATTGGAGTATTTATACAGCTCTATTACTGCATTTCAAGGGCACCCTCTCTCAGTGGTTATCACTCCTGGCTCGTATACAGCACTTTTCCTTAGCAGACTTCAAAGCATTTAAAAAAGAGGTCAGTGTGATTATCCCCGTTGTACAGATGGGGAAACTGAGATACAAGGAGAAGAAGTGACTTGTTACCCAGAAAACTAGTGATTGAGTCAGGAATAGAACCAACGTCTCCTGCCTCATCACGCTAAGCCCCATGCACCTCCCCATGATACACTCCCTCCTTCTTCCTATTTCTAGTCACTTGTGCCTGGCCTAATGTTGCTCATATTTTTCCTCCTTCCGTACAGGTTCCATGAGGTTCTGCAGGATGCACTGGGCTTCCATCCTGATAGCGGCTGGGCTGTGTGTGGTCTCCTTCGGCCAGTATGAAGAAGATGAAGACATGTACTGGTTGCATCATTACCTCCGCAGCCAGTCGTCCTATTATAACTACCTGCCGTTCTACGAGGAGGAGGGCCCCCCTTACCCTTACATCCCGGCTGAGTTCTCTAATCCAGAGCCCATCCCCGAGTCCGTTTCCCGGGAGTGCCCCCAGGAGTGCGAATGCCCCCCCAACTTCTCCACGGCGTTGTACTGCGACAGCCGCAGCCTGAGGTACCTCCCCTTTGTGCCTTCCAGGATGAAGTACGCCTACTTCCAGAACAACCAAATCACCGCTGTCCAAGAGGGGGCCTTCGACAACGCCACCACGCTGGAATGGATCGCATTGCACGGCAACCAGATAACCAGCGAGAAGATGGGCAAGAGGATCTTTGCCAAGCTCAAGCACCTGGAGAGGCTGTATCTGGATAACAACAACCTAACCAAGATGCCCAGCTTCCTGCCCAGGTCCCTGAGAGAGCTCCACCTGTCTTACAATCAGATCACCAGGATCCCAGCCAATGCTCTGGAGGGCTTGGAGAACCTCACTGCCCTGTACCTCAGCCACAACGAGATCCATGATATAGCAGCATCTCTCAAAGGGTTGAAGTCCTTGATCCTTGTTGACCTGAGCTACAATCACCTCAGGAAGGTCCCTGATGGCCTGCCAAGCTCTCTGGAGCAGCTGTACCTAGAGCACAACTACATCCACAGCATCCCTGATGAGTATTTCAAGGTGGCCCCCAAGCTGCTTTACATCAGGCTGTCCCACAACAGCTTGACCAGTGACGGGCTCTCCTCCAACACCTTCAACACCAGCAGCATCCTAGAGCTGGATCTGTCCTACAACAAGCTCCAGAAGATCCCCCGGGTTAGCACCCACCTCGAGAACCTCTACCTCCAAGGGAACCAAATCAATGGTGAGCAACGTCTGACCAGCAACTCCTTGAGGCTAGCGGGTCGCTTTGTCAAATGGCCAGGACAAGCAGTAGGGAAATGGGGAGCCGGGTTCTGCCACTGGTCTCAGGGTCTGATCAGGCGGCCTGGGACACACAAAACCTAAATTCCATCACTGTCTCTGCCACCGATTTCTTACATGGCCTTAAGCCAATCACGTCCCTACTCTATGTCTCCGTATTCCAACCGCTTCCCTCCTCCATGTCCCGCCCACATAGAATTTTCACAAAGTTCTTTGAGATGCTGGGATGGACACCGCTCGGGTAAGTGCAAGTTGCTATCCTTTCGCGCACTCGTGTCTGTGAGATTCTCTTTCTTCATTCTGGAAGCGGAGGCAGAACTCCAGAGAGAACTTCATGAGACAGACGTACGTTAATAGTTAAAAATACACTGGCTGAATTAAATGGTCAGAGATCAGAGGAGAAAGGCCAACTTAGGCACAAAGGATGTGGCTGCACTGAAGAAGGGGGACTGCCACTGAGAGATGTGGACATCAGAAAGCATAGCGTATAAGAATAGGATAGTATCCCTTTAAATATGTCATGGTGTCCTCTATATTATAAACCAGTGAGAGCAGCAGCCATGTGTAGGCGGCTAGACCCGGGGTGTTTGTGTACCTTGAGTCAACACAATTATTTGGGACCCAGCTGTGCCCATGTGGTTTCCTTATATGAATTTTTGTTGTGTAAAGAGAAAAAAAACACAGAAAAGGTGCAGAAGGAACAGAAACTTGCCCTCTGTACGGCAGGGGAAAGACAATATTCGCACACACACAGGTTCACAATTGAGTAACCCTAGAGACATGCATTTAGCTCCCTGCACAAGGATGTAAACTGTGCAACACACCTGATTCTGTTCTCACGTAGGTAGGTGTAAATAAGAGTGATTCCACTGGTGTCAGTGGTGCAGGTGGGAGCAGAGTTGGGTCCAGATGACACAGATTTGATCAGAAAGGAGGGGTAAGTGGCAAAGTGGTGTAACTTATGCCACACTTCAGCACTCAGCGTTAGAGCGGTCTGCCGCTGGGTCATTGGGGAATCCCACCGAAACACACTGAGCTTACATGGTCTGTCACACACACACACGCATACACACATATGTGTCCTATCATTGTCTCTTGTGAGGCAATGCATGAGGCTTTGGGGTCTCCAGGGTCCCCAGCACAGGTCACCTCCTGGGGCTCCATCAGTCACAGAGAGCCAAGCCGGCCCTTGGGGTCTCCAGCCTCTGTAGGTCAGGCCTCCCATCTGGTTTCCAGTGCTTCCTCCCTTTATACTGCTGTAGCATTTGGAGCATGCCCAGTCCGGCTTAGGAGAAGGAACTTCTGTCCATAAAGTGGATTTAACCCCGTCTTGACTAGTGCAGGGTATGCCCACCCTGTCATAGGGGACCTGACTAGTAAGCACAATTCTATTAAACCCAATGGGGATTGTGCCTGCTTTCATCAGGCCTGAAGCTATCTCTGGATAATAGAACAGGGGCACCTTCCCATTTGCGTGCGTGGGCAGAGGCTGCTTTCTAAATGCCAGATCAGCACAAGGTTTGGTACTTTGCCACTTCTATGCCATCAGGGAAACTGCAGGCCCAGAATGGAGAGGGGGTGCAACCCTAAATTGTAGCTTGAATGCTGGCTAATTACTTAATAATGTCTACAACTATTCCCAACAGTGTCCCCTGCAAGGTAAGTGGTTGGGCGGCTGCCCAGGAGAGATTCACATGCTCCCCAGCTGATTAGCAGAGCGCCCACAGCCAGCAGCATGCGTGTCTATTCATGGTGCACATATGCTTTTGTATTGGTGCACATAACAAAATTTATTCTGCACATGCATGGAAAAAATAGAGGGAACATTGATTTCCAACACACATTGAACAAACATGGGAAGGAGGATACCTTCAGTCTATGACAGCATGTAACTGAAGCAATCCATATTGCGGGCTCCAGTTACCAGTACACCAAAGTTACTGGGTTTCCTAGATTAATCTTCATTCAGAGGGATCCCAAGAGGACACATGGAAAGAAGAAAGATTCTGGGTTTTGTGTGGTCCTTTCAGTCGGCCTGTTTCCATCTCTCTCCTCATTGGGATTCATTAAACTTCTGCCATACGCATCTCTGAAATTTCTCCAATTTGGCACCACCGGGGAATTCAGTTTTGGGCCCATTTATTCTAACTCCTTGGCTCACCCGCAGCAGCTTGGATGTCATGGGAAGATTCTTTCACATTGGAAAGTCTCATGTCAGCATCTAGATTTCTCTCCAAATCATCCAAGTCACAGGAGCAAAATACCTATTCAAAATGTGGTGCCCCCTTTAAAGGCAAATGGAAAAAACTGGTTTGAGAGTCCAAATGTGTTATTTTGTGGTGGTTTGGGAACCTTTCACCTGGTAGTCACCACTTCCAATCCGGACTGGGTCCATTGTCAGCCAAAAGCCATGAATGTTATTTTCAGTTCCCTGAAAGGAGTTTCATATTATTTATAATTGTTTTGATTGTAGACCCAACCAAGATCGAGACCTTATTGTGGTAGGGGCTGCATAGTTTTATGGTGAAAGATAGCCCTGCTCCAATGAGTTTGCATGCAAATTCTCCAAGGTATTTAGGTGTCTAGCTCTCATTTATTTCAGCTTGCCTATAAAGCAGAGTGTGCCAATTCAGAATAAGGCATTCCTATTTCAGAATAAGAGCATCCACACATAGAATGAATCAGGAATAGTTAATCTGGTTTAAATTCACATCCTACTGAGTCAGGCCAGAGGGCTACAGAGAGTAATAGAAGGGAAACACACTATGTTAGCCCCAGATTAAATAGGTCCCTGTTCCTAGGGTAAACTAACAAAGGCTGTTCTAGAATCACCAGGACTCTGCTGGAAACAATCAAGGCAATCAGGCCAATTAAAACACCTGGAGCCAATTAGGAGGCTTCCCGACTCAAGGGAGCCAGACTAATCAGATCGTGTGTGGGCCAATTAAGAACCTGTTGAGAGTGATTTAAAAAAGGCTTCCTTTCTGTTTCCTTAGTATGCAAGGAAGGAGCTGAGGAGAGAAGCTGTTGTGCAGTGTGTGGGAGGAGAAAGTGCAAGTGGGTACCAAGGGGAGGTGCCTGCAACAAGGCAGGTGCTGGGAAGGCTGTGGGGAAGTAGCCCAGGGTATTGTAGCTGCCATACAGCAGTTATTGGAGGCATCTTCAGACAGCATTTTCACAGGGTCCCTGGGCTAGAACCCAGAGTAGAGGGTGGGCTGGGTTCCCCCCTACCCAGCCTCTCCCCATTTCAGTACCAGAAAGGACTGGCTTTGGGAAAGGGATTTGGTCACAGAGACTATGGAGTTTAGTTTCCCCTCTTTGCTCTATGCTGACCAGTGCTGGGAGTAGCTCAACAAACAGCAAGCTGGTGCCCTAGAGAAAATGCTTAAGGTGAGGGCCACTGTGAGCCTTTGAAGGAAACAATCTGCCTGAAAATGCAGGACTCACCAAGGCTGGGGAGGAACTTTGTCCACATTTTACTGGATTATTTTTGTTGTGTTGACCAGCCATTTGGACTCTTCTGCCTCAGCTTGCTATCTGTCCTAGGCAGCTACCTACTGCACAGTGGACTTCTGAGGGCAAATCCATGGGTTTTTTTAAATTGGGGAGGAGGAGAGTGCTCAGTTACTATAATCATGAGGGCCATGTAAGCAAGCAATACACCCTAAGAGGGGCCCTTCCAACTTAGTGAAGACATGCTGTGTAGGAATCTTGCCCTGTCATTCTCTGTGCTGCCTCAGTGCTGTGATTAAACAGAAGCCTTTCATCTCCAGCCTCTTTCAGCCAGGCAAAAATCACTTGCATAAGAAATCAAATGGAATATTTATTTTTAAGCTGAATGACTGGAAAAATCCGCTCCCCTGACAAGCCTCTGCCAAGAGGATGCTCCGAGAAACCAGAGCAACAAACCGTGCTGCCTGCATCACGTTAATTAAGCAGCAGCGAAGCCAGCGACTGGTTCAGGGGAAGCACGTCGCCCCACAGTGGGGAGCTGATAGATGTGCAGAACAAGAACAGACGCCCAAGCGTTGGCTTGCAACAAGTGCAGCCATGGAGGCTGCACAAAGATGGCATTAAAACAAGCTGGCGTTTAAGCCCCTCTGTTTGAGCCATGCATTTTTATGGCTGCGTGTGCAGCTGAACTTGACAGGTTTTACAAGCGAGGCTCTCTTGTAATGGCCTGGATGAGGGGATGGATTGCACCCTCAGCAAGTTAGCAGATGACACTAAACTAAGGGGAGAGGTAGATATATGCTGGAGGGTAGGGAGAAGGTCCAGAGTGACCTAGACAAATTGGAGGATGGGGCCAAAAGAAATCTGATGAAGTTCAACAAGAAGTGCAGAGTCCTGCACTTGGGATGGAAGAATCCCAAGCATTGTAGCAGTTTGGCAGAGAAGGACCTGGGGATTATGGTGGATGTGAAGCTGGATATGAGTCAACACGGTGCCCTTGTAGCCAAGAAGCTAATAGCATATTAAGGTGCATTAGTAGGAGCATTGCCAGCAGATCTAGGGAGGTGATTATTCCCCTTTACTCAGCACATCTGGAGTATTGCGTCCAATTCTGCACGCACTCATGCACACACCCCGCCATTACAGAAAGGATGTGGACCCCACTCCAACAGAGGGCCACAAAACTGATGAGGGGGCTGGAGCGCATGACTTTTGAGAAGAGGCTGAAGGCTTTGGGCTTAGTTAGTCTAGAGAAGAGAAAAGTGAGGGGGGATTTGATAGTAGCCTTCAAGGGGGAGGAGGTTCCAAAGAGGATGGAGAGAGGCTGTTCTCAGTGGTGACAGATGATAGAATGAGGAACAATGGTCTCAAGGTGTGTGTGTGTGGGGAGGGGGAGTCTAGATTGCCTTCCCAAGGGAACCCTCGCCCATGCCTGATGTGCAGGGCCAGGAGCTGGGAGATGGGGTTGGTAGCAGGGCTCACTCTGGGTGCGTAGCCAGCATCAGAACTCCTGGGCATGGGGAGGCAGCCAGGAGATCCTGGTTGCTAGACTGGGAGCTTGGGGGTGTTGCAGCTGCTCCCTGCACCCATATCTCCTGTGCCTATGGTTGGAGCTTACAGATGTGACTGCAGTGTTCCCATCTACGTAATTATCTCGAGATACTCTACACACTAGTACTTGAGTATTTTGTTCTGTACTTAGTACTTCAGTGTAAGTGCCTTTTAAAGGTCCTTAGATAATATTAGCTGCAAATACTTACTCAAAAGAGCTGTTTGAAACAATCACACACTCACCCCGCCAGCTCTCCCAGAGTCAAGCTGGCCCCCAGAACGCATTGGCCTCGCTGAGGAGTTTCAGGCTCCAAGTTCCAGTTGCTGGGGCTTTTTTTTTTTTTTGGTTGGCCCTGCTGTTCCACCACCAGGGGAGAGGGTGGCTTTGCCTCCTCCCCCTTCATTTCTGATTGGTCAGTCCAACCAACAGCAGGAGACACGGTCCACGGTCCAGCCACAGTAAGGTGGCTTGTTCACAGCAGCTGGGTTAACTCCAAAGCATGAGGCCCCCTTGTATGGATCCTTCTCTGCAGCAGAGAGTCTGTGACAGGCCAGTGTCCAAAGGAAAAACAGACAAGCTATCTATAAGAATTAACTTAAGCCTCATCATATGGGTTGGAAGAATTTTCAGGAGTACTTAGAAATACGTAAACTCAATTTCTACAGCATACAGATACTGCTAGGTAGCTCTGTAATGGTGTGCTTGAAACTTATACAGAAGTCCTTTTTATCAGCGTGTGTCAGAGCAGGAAAATGGAGTCAGTAGGAGATAAAGTGGACTTGACCTAACAACATAAGAATGGCCATACTACGTCAGACTAAAGGTTCATCTAACCCAGTGTCCTGTCTCTAGACAGTGGCCTATGCCAGGTGCCCCAAAGGGAATGAACAGAACAGGGAATCATCAAGCAATCCATCCCATGCACCCCATTCCCAGCATCTGAAAAACAGAGGTTAGAGATACCATCCTTGCCCATCCTGGCTAATAGCCATTGATGGACCTAACCTCCATGAATTTATCTAGTTCCTTTTTGAACCCTGTTAAAGTCCTGGCCTTTATAACATCCTCTGGCAAGGAGTTCCACAGATTGATTGTGCATTGCTTGGAGAAATACTTCCTTTTGTTTGTTTTAAATCTGCTGCCTATTCATTTCATTTGGTGACCCTTCGTTTTTATGTTATGGGAACAAGTAAATAACTTTTCCTTATTCACTTTCTCCACACCTGTCATGATTTTATAAATCTCTATCATACTCCCCTCCCCTTAGTCTCCTCTTTTCTAAGCTGAAAAGTCCCAGTCTTTTTAATCTTTAGTGAAAGAATAAGCAGAGGCAGGAATAGAACTCACTTTTCCCACCTTCCTGCTCCTATCCATTAGCCAGGGCTACTCCCCCTATGAAAGAGTTCTACAAGAGGCTGGGAGAGGGTTAGCGCCTATTCCCTGACCCACTGTCCCCTGGTGGTGCTAGAAAAATGGAGTCCAGGTTGCCTTCCTAGCTTTCAATATGGAACATCTGTGCTAGCCAATCCTCTCTCCCTCATTAGCAATGGGTTAAGTCTCTGCCAAGCCCTGGAGCTTTGCTGCCCCCTGGCAGCTTTCTTCCTTCCCAACACACCCTCTCCCACAATGCAGCAGGTTTATCCAGGTTTGCTGTAGCTCCAGTGGGATCACAACAAACAGCCCCCTTCACAACTAGCAGAGAAATCTGGCTAGAAATAAGAGGATCAGCTGCGAATTCCAATCTATTTCCCTTCCCTATGTTACCGGGAGAGCAGGGTCAATTCTCCACCAGTTACACTAATGTAACTGCATGGACATCAGTCGGGTTACTCCGGATTTACAGAGGAATAAGTGCGAGGAGAATCTGAAAGAGTAGACAATGCCCTGGCTAGTGATTTTGGTAGTTGCTGGGTGCCCAGTGTAAAGGGTGCAGATTTGCTCCGCAGAGTCAGAAAATCAGGCCTCCTGAAGGTATCGCAAAATCATTCCTTGCCCCTTGTGCAAAGCAATACATGTTCCAACCCTTCCCCCTGAGGTAACCCGAGTGTGGTTTTAGTTGGGGATGGGGCTTGCACGGAGGAGAAGGGGGCAGAGTGGTTCTCAACTGAACTACAAAAGCTGTGTCTGCAATCATGGAATCACCAGGTGGGAAGAGACCTCAGGAAGCCATTGAGTCCAACCTCCTACTAAAAGCAGGACCAACCCAACTAATTAATCCAGCCAGGGCTTTGTCAAGCCAGGACTTAAAAATCTCTAGGAATGGAGATTCCGCCCCCTCCCTAGGAACCCATTCCAGTGCCTCCCCACCTTCCTAGGGAAATAGTTTTTCCTAATGCAACACAGACCTCCCCCACTGCAACTTGAGACCATTGCTCCTTGTTCTGTCATCTGTCACCACTGAACAGCCTCTCTCCATCCTCTTTGGCACCCTCCTTCAGGGAGCTGAAGGCTGCTATCAAATCCCCCCTCAATAAAATGTGCTATCTAAAAAAGTGTATTACCATAGTGCCTAAGCGTTCTACTCATCATGGGTGCTCCGGGGCTGGAGCACCCAAGGGGGAAAGTTAGTGGGGGGGGGGGGGTGAGCCCCCTGCCCATGCCTCTCACTGGTGGCCTCGCTGACCAACTCCTAACCTCACCCCACGTCCCGCCTAGCACTTCTGGGAGTGTCCCAAACAGCTGATGTGCAGTGTTCAGGAAGCTCTGGGAGGGATGGGGAGGAGCAGGTACAGGGCACACTTGGGGGAGGAGGTCGGAAGAGGTGGGGCAGGGGCTTGGAGGAAGGGGTGGAATGGGGTAGGGCCTGGGGAGTTGAGCAGCCTTTGCCCCCCAGCTAGAAGAGACATCGGTGCCTAAGGTCACGTCCACTGTTATGACAATTACCAGGGGCGGCCCATCTACATAGGCGAACCTAGGGCGCCAAGTTAAATGGGGCACCAAATGGTGGCGCAATATCATTGAGGTGGGGGCGCTGATTGCATGGTTCACTTAGGGCGCCAGTTGCTGGCAGACAGTCTAGGGCCGCTCCTGACCATTACTACCCACAGTGCTGTTAGCAGTGGTCTGCCCTCCACGGGGCTCTTTTCCATCAGGATGGCAGGAGCGCTAACTAGCGAGTTCTGGACTCCCACTGTGTCTTAGAGCCTGTCTCCTTTTCCCCCTGCAGAATTCTCCATCAACAGCTTCTGCACCGTCGTCGACGTCATGAACTTTTCCAGGCTCCAGGTCTTGCGGCTGGAGGGGAACGAGCTGCAACGCAACGCAGTGCCCCCCGATGCTCCCCTCTGCCTGAGGCATGCTAATGTCATTGAGATTTAACCCCGTGCTCGCCCCCTGGTCCTCCAGGCACCCATGCCAGCTGGCCAGGCTGGGGGAGGCCTTCACGCTCATTTTAACGCAGCTTGATTTGATTTCTGCAATAGCGTAATATGGCTGCACAATAGCAGCCGACATGCAGGGTTCCCTGCTGAAGTAGGAGGAAGGTTTCATTAGCTCCTCCCACTAGCTGCTAACCCCTTTTGGCCTATCAGGTCAGTCCAGTATGGGGGCAAGTCTCTGCTTTGTCCTATAAAACCCCTCCCATTCCCTTTCTCTCTAGGCAGCCAATCAGTTCTCTCGATCATTCCCCACCCTTGTCTTGCTGCATGTGGGTCTGCACGGCTCCCACCATCGTGGGTGGGTTGCCTAGAGGGAACTCAAAGGGACTCAGATAAACTGCATTGGATTTGAAAGTTTGACGCCACCTGGGGTGTTTTGGGGGTGCTTATTCCGGGTCGGAGGAACCGTAGCTAAGGGATCCGAGACAGGGGGAGGAGAGGAATTCACATTTTTAAAAGGTGGAAAAACAGAGCAGGACATGGGCCTGGGTGAGGGTCATTTGAGGAGGAAAGGTGCAGAGAGAGGAAGGGCGAGAGGGAAATTCTAATGGAAAAATAGCTATAATCCACGGGTCAGAACTTCACCAGGTGTAAATAGGTGTAGTGACACGGACGCCAATAAAATGATGCTGATTCACACCCGTGTACCTCCTGCATTTATAGGTCTCTGACCTGAGACTGCTGCGCTTCCAGGGGACTAGCCGCTGAACATTCGCCGCAGGCGTCTGTGCAGCTAGCACCATGTAGGAGCTGGTTTATAATGGGGAACTAGGGGGGAGTGAGCAGGAATTTGTGTGGTTCAAAGGTTTGCAGGCTCGTTTTTCAAGGCCCATGCTTAGCTTCCCTCCTCAGGATGTGGGCCAACCTGGAGAGCCTACTGGGTGATGCAGTTTCACCCTCGAGGTGCAATTGGACAGTAGGATGTTTCAAACTGAACAGGTTAAAAAAAAAGCCCAGTTCCCATTTATCCTACCGCCCTTTTGAACTGCAAGAGCATGGCACAGTGGCTTTGACATGAGCGCAATTACCTTTAGTGCCAGCAAGGCTGCATGCTGTGGGTTTTGAAACCTGCTGGACCAGGAGCCAGGGTGTCAAATCTAGAACAACTCCACAGGATAAACTAGAAGGGTGATAAACCCTCTTGCTTTTAGGTACAAGCCAACCAGTAACTGCCGGAGTTAGGGTGAAACTACAGACTGAAACTCTTTAGTCTAGCACACTCTCTGCTCCGGCAACATCCGTGGCCCAGCATGACTGTAGTTAGCCTTGAATCCACATATCAGGGTGGGGCCAAGTTTCCTGAAGTCCCATAAAGTTTGTACAGCCACCAGACCTGGCTCTCAGTGTTCTGTGCTGTTCTTTAGCTCTAATGGCTCCTCAGAGCCCAGTAAACAGTGGAAGTGTTGGTAATGCTGCTAGACCAGGGCTAAGCAACCTGCCTCACACTTTGATCTAGCCCGTGAATGGCATCTGGCTACTTTCTAGTCATACCCTGCTTCCTGTGCCACTGAATTTCCCAGCAGTGGCTCAGCCAGCAGGATCCTATTGAAACGAATCACGGCTCCCAGTCACAGCACTACCGCAAGCAGGGGCCAGAGCTGTGAGCTCTTTAAATAGCTGCAGCAACCCCAGGCAACACGATAGCAGCAAAGCCAGGCGCCCTTTACTGAGTTTTTAATTCAAAGCCTTTGGTCCCAGCCAAGTCGGGGAGAGGAGGGAGGCTAATCCTCAGCCCCGCCTCTTCCACCCCAGGTCCCGCCCCTTTCAGGGGTGGAGGCAATCTGTGAACAACAAACCAAAATTCATTAAGTGCCCCCCCTGTGAAAATTATTGCCCACCCCTGTGCTAGACAATAATGATCTCCTATAGTCTAGCAGCAGTCGGGCCCCAAGAGTGCTGGCTTGGAGAGGTTCAACCTGTACGGATAAGGGAAATGCATCCAAGAATTCTCCAGGAAGGAATTTCTTTAATATTGCTCTGGAGCAGCTGGTACTGGTCATTATCAGAGACCAGATACCAGATGGCTGGACTCCTGGTTTCTCATTTATCCCTATAGCATTTACAGAGTGCCTGGAAGTCAGTGAGGGGTGGTTCTGGATTTCTGCCAGAGATCCAAATGTAACCTCTCCTCTTTGAATTCACTCTTAACTCATAGACACAAACAGCCTTGGTGGGAAAAGTCAGAGCAACATATGGGGCAGCCACGTGAAGCATTTACCAGGCAGCAGCAGCTTTATGGGTGTATGGGGGGTTCTTTTGTCCCTGGCCTATCGGCCAGCCATGCCGAAGGGTCTACAGCACAGGGGCAGGGCGACATGAAGTGGTCTCGATGGGGTATGTCTCAACTACAAGCCTCTTTCGAAAGCGATCATCTAGACAGCCACAAGACTTTCGAAAAAGTGATTCACTTTTTCTAAAGAGAGCACCCAGGCAATCTGGACGCTCTCTTTCGAAAAAGCCCGGTTTGCGTTCAAGAACGCCTTTTTTCGAAAGAGCTCTTTCAAAAAAAAGTCATTCTTCCTTGTAAAATGAGGTTTCCCGCTGTTGAAACCCCCGCCACATTCTTTCAATTTAATTTCAAATGAACGCAACAGCAGTCTAGATGCAGGTGAAGTTTTTTGAAAAAAGGCCATTAAAAAAAAACTCTGTAGTCTAGACACAGCCCATTCTAGCAATGTTTTACAGTTTGGTTCAATGGTTCCCAGCACCCCCATGATAAACATTGCTCTTGCACCTCTGCCTATAATCCTGAAGCCTTGCAATTCCCACTTTTCCTGCAAGGTTCGATAACTGAATTCCTGCCAAACTTGGTCCCCCGCGGGTGGAAGAAGTGGAATTCCCAGACTGCAAGATCATTACGTTTGCAGTCGCTCTAAGCTGAAAATGATAAGCTGCTGGCACAATATAGCAATCTTTTACAGTCCAGGTAGCAGAAGGGCAGATGGTGGGGGACGGCTTCCTTCCAGTATTGTTCTCCAAGCGGCCTTGCTGCATCCACTCCACCAAATGAATTTACAGGTTACCAGCCAGTCCTAGGAGGAGGCAGAGCAGCAGCCATCACCTGGGAGGAAAGGCATTATTGTAACGCCTGCTTTTATGCCTAGAGCATGTGGATCAGACCTTCCTTTCCATATGCTGCTAGGCTGCTGATGAAGAATACGACAGTTTACCCAAGTGACGTTCAGAGTCAGCTGAAATGATACCCACCTTGGTGTTATGGCGGGACTCGTGCTGGTTCAGAGAGTTTGTGCTCTAAAGCAGACAGAGGGAAAGCTGGTTTCACAGCCTAGTAGCAATCCAACCCCAGGAGCTTCCTAAACGAGTCCTTATTGCTGATGCCCACTGTATCTTCCCATTGTGGTTAATTGCATCAACTAAACATAGCACCTGGCTGTACAATTGTTGGCTTTTTTCTTGAGAGACTCACGGTGTAACGGTGCTTGGTTTGCTCTAAGGACCAGCACTGCTGGATTGTTCAGTTTGAAACACCCCCTTCCTAAAGAATTGGGGTCCCATTTAAAAGAAAACAAATCTTGGCAGTGAATTAGAATTCCACAAAAGCCACCATACTAGCTGGGTTCATTGGACAAAGCAGAGAACAAGGAGGCAGATGAGCTTTTGGGCAACTTGGAAAACTCAAGAGGCCATCTAAACCCTCACATTTAAACTGCATGCTAATATAAAGAAATCTGTAACCTCACCAAAGCATGAATTGTCGATAGCATACTGACCAATAAAACCCTTTCCATAATTGCCTGGAATGTGTTTCAGGAATGCAAAGTAGAGAGGCCAAGTTCTGAATATCCGGATGGCAATTAGAGAGGGCTTTGAAATGTTCAACAGAGCTTTATAAAGAGCGAAGCCTACATTTTCAAAAGTGACTCTTGATTTTGGGTACTAGTGAACATGAGATTTTAACCTTAAAGGGAGATGGGGGGCTTCAGAGGGCATGACTCTCAAAGCTTGCTGAAAATCAAGACGTCTCAAATTGGGCATCTAACAAAGGAGGTGACCAAGACCACTAGCTGGACTTTAGAGTCCAAATCCAGATCCTAATTTTACTATCAATACCTGTGACCGCATGGACCAGGTCCTGAGGCCTCCTGCCAGAGGCCCTATGGTCCTGCCACACCCTGCCCCAGAAAGATAATAGGTCCTCCAAGCAGGCTAGAGCGGCTACAGGAGAAGTGGCCAATCAGGAGCCAGAAAGGCCCTATAAAAGGAGCAGGGGAGGAGGGCAGCAGTCTGTTCCTCTGGAGACCTGAAGGCATGTAGTCTGAGAGACTGACTGCCTGAGAGTGTGGCAGGACTGCACGTTGTGGTGAGCTTAGTGAAGGCTGAACTATGATGGGACCCTGAGGTAAGGGAGAGGATGTTGTCTCCAGGAGAGGAAGCCCTTGGGCCACCAGAGTGGGGAACAGACTCAGAGGGACACTACAGAGCGTACCAAGATGGACCCCTGTTAGATGTATACCCTGGAAGGGGTTTGTTGATTTGCACATGGGGTGTGTGCGACTCGGCCGCTGAAGAGGCTTTGAACAGAGGGGACGCTTGTAGGAAGTGAATGCCACCCCATTACAATACCATACTCCAACCCTGTGGTGTCCAACCCGTTCTGAAGCAGTAGCCACTGTAGCAGCTACTGCTGTAGAGAACTAGCCACGTTATTCTGAAAATAGAAATAATTTTATGAGCCAACTAGCCACACTCAATGGGCCAAATAGCCACATGTGGCTACTGTGTTGGACATTACAGCTCCAACCCTTCCTGAGCTTTGGGAGTTCTGAAACTGAATACCTGGAGCCTATTTTTACATCTTGAATTCATCTTCAGCAGTGGCTGGCACGTTCTCATTTTAATAAAAAAACAAACAAACCGTGACTAGTCCTGCAGCACCTTAGAGACTAACAAAACTTGTAGGTGGGATCATGAGCTTTCGTAGGTACAGCCTGCTTCTTCAGATGAATGCTTCTTCATTTTAATGCTTGTCTATTCTGAAAGATTCTGGAAGAAGGACTCTGAATGGAAGGGGGGCGGATTATTTGAAACAAACAGAACAGCAGCTACACAAAATTATGAGAAACCTGCTGACACAATCACACAAGGTAACCAGATCTGTCAGTGGGCTAATAGGACAGATATTCCGCTGATGCAAACTGTAGAGCTCCACTGACATGTCCAGAAAGCAATCCAAGGACAGTGTCCTGGCAAAGGCTTTCTGCCAAAAGTCCCCTTGTCCAGTAACTTTACTATTATAGCTCTTTGAGGTCGAAATGCACCAATGCACTTGGTGCTTTATGCTCATTTAGTAAACAGGGTTCTTGCTCTAAGAGTTTAGGGGATGGTGTCACCCTCTCCAGATACTGCCAAAACGTCCCTGCAACCAGAGCTCAAATTCAGCCAGAGCTGCATTTAAGCAGAGCGCCGGGAAATATTTTCAAACCCATGGGGCAGAAGCTTTGAGCCCTGACACTCCCGCACAGAGCCTTGGCACGTCCCATGGGGCTGAAGTCCTCCGACCCCCTCTCCCTGCAGCTGAAGCCTGGAGCTCCGAAGGGGAAGAGGCTGGGGGCCTCCAGGAAATACTGTGTGAGAATGTAAGTCCTGTCTGCATCCCTTACTATAGCACGGGGTGGTCAATAATTTTTAAAAGGGGGCCACTTCAGCCCCGGGCCACCCCACAAGGGGCGGGGCCTTGGGCAGAAGGGGCAGGGCCAGGAGACTTCTTGTGCTCCCCCCCACCATTGGCCTGGGGTGGGGGTGCACAAGAAGTCTTTCCCCCCTCCCTCCCCCGATCTGCCCCCTAGGCTGTGTCCAGACTCAGGGTTTTTTTCGGAAAAAGTAGCCTTTTTTCGAAAAAACTTCACCTACGTCTAGACTGCAGCCGCGTTCTTTCGAAATTAAATCGAAATTACGTGGCTTTTCTTTCGACGGTGGTAAACCTAATTTCACGAGGAAGAATGCCTTTTTTCGAAAGTGCTCTTTCGAAAAAAGGCGTTCTTGAATGCAAACGGGGGTTTTTCAAAAGAGCATCCAGACTGCCTGGGTGCTCTCTTTTGAAAAAGCGGCTTGCTTTTTTGAAAGTTCCGCTTGCAGTCTAGATGCTCTTTTTCGAAAGAGGCTTTTTCGAACGTATCTTTCGAAAAAGCCTCTTTCGAAAGAGGCTTGCAGTCTAGACATAGCCCTAGAGAGAAACACCAGGACTTTGTCGACACTCGCGGCTTCTTGTGCAAGAAATATGCAAATGAGGCTAAGCGTGGAATATCGCCAAGCCTCATTTGCATACCTAATGAGCCACCATTTTTGCAGAAGTAGTTCTTGCACCAGAAGGAGCTGTCTACGCTGCCCCTTCTTGTGCAAGAAAAGCCCTCTTGCGCAATGCCCTTATTCCTGAAAATAATCAGCGTAGCGGCATTGCGCAAGAGGGCTTTCTTGCGCAAGAAGGGGCAGTGTAGACAGCTCCTTCTGGCACAAGAGACTCTTCTGCAAAAATGGCGGCTCATTAGGTATGCAAATGAGGTTCGGCGATATTCCACGCTTAGCCTCATTTGCATATTCCTTGCGCAAGAAGCCGCTAATGTAGACATAGCCCAGCTGTTTTAAAACAGCTGGCATTCCCTGTAATGTGCCTACCATGTCTCTATCTGCTGCGTCCCCCTGGAAGGACAGGGAAAGGATGCAAGAGACTTCGCGCGCTCCCTGCCCCCAGTACCTGATTGGCCTGGAGGTGGGGGAGTGGCAGAGCAGCCACGGGCCGGATCCACTGGCTTGGTGGGCCAAATTTGGCCCACGGAGCACCCTTTGCCCACCCCACTATAGCCAGTGCCTGGGGCTGTTGTTGCTTTCAAGCAGAGCCCAGGAGCAGCAGTGGAACGCACAGGATAAATGCGTATTTACCAAAACGAATACAATCTTTCTAGCACCACTGTATTTCTATCGCTAGGGGTCAGCGTTGCCCTACACTTGCATTCACTTGGGCTACGTCTACACTGCAGTGCTCCAGTATCCCAAAACAGCTATTCCACGTTGTTTGAGTGCGCTCGTTATTTCGAAATATAACGGGCTCGCTATTCCAACATCCCTGTATACCTCATTCCACGAGGAGCAAGGGACATTTCAGAATAGTGATTCATTTAGAAAGAAGTGCTGTAGACCGCACCAAATTTCAAAGTACGCCATTTCAAAATAACATTGAAATAAGCTATGCAATTGCGTAGCTCGAATTGCGTATCTTATTTTGACCTTGGGTGCAGTGTAGACATCCCCTTGCTGTGCCTTTAGAGCGGAGCTGGGACAGGAGCGTCTTCCCAAGTGTTTCAGTCCCCAATGCCCACACATCAGCCACCTCACTAAGAAATCGACGGCAGAGCAGTGATGGGTGTGAACAAAACCTGGCTAATTGTTCCGTGTTCTGGAGGGT